CTTTATCGGATGTGTAGAGAGCAAATATTTTCTCCCATTTTGTAGGCTGTCTATTTGCTCTAATGATAGTTTCCTTGGCTGTGCAAAAGTTTTTTAATTCGATCAGATCTCATTTATTTATTTTTGTTGATGCGTTAATTTCTTTGGGGGTCTTCTTCAAAAATTCTTTGCCTAGGCTGACGTCTAAAAGGGTCTTCCCAACATCTTCATCTAGAATTCTTAAGGTTTCATGCCTTAGTTTTAAGTCTGTTATCCATCTTGAGTGGATTTTTGTGAGAGGTAGGGATCCAGTTTCATTTTTCTGCATGTAGCTATCCAGTTTTCCCAGTACTATTTATTGAAGAGATTCTTTTCCCCAATGTATATTTTGTATATTATCCCCAAATGTGTATTTTTCTTTGCTTTATCAAAGATTAGATTACTGTATGGTAATCTAATGTGGATGGTTTCATCTCTGGAATCTCAGTCCTATTCCAAAGATCAATGTCTCTGTTCTTGTGCCCTCTGTTCTTGTGCCAGTACTAAGCTGTTGTAATTATTATGGATTTGTAGTACAGCTTGAAGTCTGGTAGACTGATACCTCCCAGTTTGTTCTTTTTAATTAAGATTGCTTTGTCTATATGAGGTCTTTTCTGGTTCCATACAAAGTGAAGAATTATTTTTTCTAGTTCTGTAAAGAATCATGATGGTTCTTTGATGGGAATTTCATTAATTCTGTAGATCACTTTAGGTAATATTGACATTTTAACGATATTGATTCTACCAATCCATGAGCAAGGTAGATTTTTCCATCCATTTACATCTTCTAAAATTTCATTTTTTAGTGTTTTGTAGTTCTTGTATATGTCTCTCACATCTTTCATTAAATATATTCCTAGATATTTAATTTTCTTTGGGACTATAGTAAAAGGTATTGCATTTTTGATTTGAGTTTCAGCTTGACTGTTATTGGTGTATATAAATGCCTCTGATTTGTGATAACACATTTTCTTTATCCATTTATCTATTGACAGACATTTAGGTTGTTTTCATATCTTGGCTATTGTGAATAATGCTGCAATGAATATGGAAGTGCAGATATCTCTTTGAGATCATGATTTTAATTCTTTTTGATATACACCCAGAAGTGGGATTATTGGATATGGCAGTTCTATTGATAATTTTATGAGGAAATTCTATACTCTTTTCCAGAATGGCTGCACCATTTGACATTTCCACCAACAGTGTATGTGGTTCCAATTGATCCACATCCTTGCCAACACTTTTGGTTTTTGATGGTGGCCAAACAGGTATATGAGGTACTCAGTGTCACTAATGATCAGGGAAATGCACATCAAAACCATAATGAGATAGCACCTCACTCCTATTGAGATGATTATTATATTTGTATCTTGCCTGCCAAGCTTTGAACTGTCATTCACAGAGATTCTGTCTTATTCATCTTTATCCCAAAAATCTAGCATAGTTCTCATACATCAATAATTTTTCTAGAAATTTTTCCTAAATTTGTAATAAATATAATTTCAAAAAGGCTTTAGAGGTAATAGGACATGAAACAAAATTAAAATATGTCCTGATCCCCCTTTTCAATACTTAACTACAGAAAATGTTATTTAATTACATATTTGCTTTCATGTAAGTTAGCACAGCTTTAAATCACCAGTGTTCAAAAAAAGTAAATGTACTTAGCTAGAACAAATCTTACTCAAGATGAAAAACAGATACCTGAATATAATGCTATTCTTATACAATATAGGCTATCTTATAAAAATTTGTGTATGTGAACACATACACATGATAATGGCCTATATTTGACAATGGGTAAATTTTATTCCATTTATGGTAATTAGAACAGAAGATTTAATTGGTTATAGCTATGATGCAGTTACTCAAACACACACACACACACACACACACACACACACACACACATTCCAAGAGGGGATGTGTGTTTTCTATTAGGTAAGTTTGGAAAAATTTAAAATTTTTCAGTTCAGGACTTTTCAAAGCCATCTCAAAGGAACTTCACTAAAATGTGTAATGTTGGCCCCACCCTACAAACACTCAGTCATAAATGTTAAAATGGAAGTACAACAAAGTAATGACTTAGATTATCTTATTTATTTGTACATTTGTCTCCCTTATTCACTGCTATATTCAGTGCCTAGCAATGAATACACATATAGTACACAAACAGGTGCTATAAAAGTATTATTAAAGATGAGGGAGATAGTAATGTATCCAGAATGGTAATTATTTAGTCCAACAGAACTATCTGGAATGCATAGATGTTATAATTGTTTTAGCTTTATATAAAAGCTAAAATCCCCTTACTCTACTGAGGCAAGGAATCAAGTGACACTTTTAAACTAAAAATGAGATAATATTTGAAAAGAAATTAAAACTGTGTGGAATTTGGGTATGCTAAACCCAAATCACTGAATATTCAGTTAGGATCCAATAAAGCAGAATAGTGAATAGGAGAATTGTGTATGAAGACCTCGGTTCTAGTCACAGCTACATCACTGTGAGATTTTGGCCAATGAGGCACTATTTCTTCAATTATAAAATGCATTAAGAATATCTGCCCTGCCTTCTTTATAGAACTGTTGTAAGAATCAAATACAATTAAAATTTACATATCTTTATTCTTCAATCATCTGTTACAAGCAAAATGTCCTTACTACAATTGGCACTGAAAACACTGCAAACCTGAATGTCACTGTGGCAGGTGTGGAGGTGAGAACTGATGACCAGCAAGTCAGCAGACAGCCTCCAGCTGCAGTGCCCTCTGGATCTGCCATAGCATTTGGAGGTCATATGCTGTTCCACGGTGGCTGTTCCAGGCAATGATTTGGTGTGGTGGGGCACTGAGACCTGGCCATTTCTGCCCAGGGTGAGACTCTTTATTCTGTGCAGTCTTTGCTTTGGACCTCACCATGGGCTGGCCAAGACTCTGCCAGAGGTATGCCTCAATCTCTTGCTTTTCCTATTCACTGCCCCCTCCTTCCCTCTGTCCTCCCACATATCCTACTTTTGTTTCTTTTCTCCTTTATCTTTCTCAAACATTAACTCTCAATCGATGTTTGTACTTCTAACTTCATCTTGGTGTCTGAGTTCGACCGACATGGTCCCTCAAATCCCAATCATCTGAAGCAACCTCTTTCAATATTTTGAATTTTATATTTCATATGTATAAGTATTGTGAGTTTTTAATCTCAAGATGGCTTATTTTTGCTTCTTTTTCCTCTTAGAATTATTTCATGTATTTATGAAGAGATTATAAAGGATTTTAAAAAACATATGCCTCATACAATGCTAACCACAACCAGATATTCATCTACTTTAACAATGGTGCTTCAGAAAACTCAGAGACATTTCTTGAGACCATGACATTGAATGGCATGGCCCCAGGGAATCAGTGAATTGGAGTTCCTAGTAATCTTCCTGTAGCTTTTTAATATGAGGGTCAGATTATTTCTGGACATGAGCCTGGAACCTCTCTGTAGAGTCCTTGTTTCCATGCTAGCCTGGGCTTATTGAAGTCCAGTCGAGAGTGACCAGCCCCCATACCGCCTTCAGCTCTGACCAGTCAGCTCCTTAGTAGCCAAGCTCCAGTTTAAATACAATTATGTCTTGATGCATATATAATCCTGTGCAGGTGCACTCTAAGATAGGTTCAGTTGGGTATCAAGAGTTCCAACTTTACAAAGAGCTTCTTCATCAAATGCTCTAGACCTAACTTTGAGGCATCACTTCACATTGACTTTGTGAAAGGAGAGCATCTGAGCAGGTATTGGAGTGGTGGGTAGAAGCTAAGAGCTCTTCCCAGAGAGCTCATTGTCTGCTATTTTAGGAGAAGAGATAATCCTGGGCATTTGTTTGTATTGTTGTCCTTTGATTCTCTTTCCTTTTAGTTCTATTTGGTTTTACATTAAAGCTACAATTGCATAAATACCCTATGAATTTCCCATGTAGGCTTTGGTACCATTTGAAGACATTGTGTACCATTATTTTATTATATTATTTGTATTTTAAAGTGCGTAAATCTGTATTTTCAAATTCTTTCTATATCTCTTTTTTTAAAGAATTAGCATTTCAACTTGATCATAAAATCCCACAGGGCAGGAAATTAACCTGGGAAGATGTACCTGCCTGGAGCCAGACTAAATGGATTACAATCTGGGCTCTCTACTTATATTGAGTAAGATCAATAACTTCTTTGAACTTCTGCCTCCTCATCTGTATTATAAAACAGGAGTAAAATTAAATCCTCTTAACCTTGTGAGGGGGCAATATCATGACATTTGCAATGTTACTGCAAGGATCAACACTAATTTGAAGACAAGTCTTCTCTATCTTGGAATGCAAGTCCATAATTGGAATAGTTAATTTTTTTTTAACTTGAACTCAGATGTGTACTTGCCTTAGGCTGGAATAAAATATAACATATGAGTTCTTTACTATAAATTTGCTAATTGCATTTGGCTTAAAGCTACTCTAAGCAGAGTATGCTGAAGGCTGATCCTGTGGCCATTTCATACCATAGTAAGAGTATTTTCAATTTCTGTCTTTAAGGTGATATTTACAAATGCTTTTGTTTTCCATACCACATTTCTTCCCTATAATTGAATTTCTAGAATTACAAATAAAATAGAGCTAACGCTCACCAACATCTTTAGCATAAGGACTTAGACACACTTGTAAATGCACAAGCCCAAACAACTCGGAAATAAAGGCATGCAGTGCAACATCTTGTAAAGAGCATAGATTTAGGAATTTCACGTAGATGTGTCCTGCACTAGCTTCAAACGTTTCTGCAACAGCTTCTTGTGACCTTTGTTGCTCATCTGTAATGTGAACACAATGACCATGTGCATAGATTTTTTTGTTTAGAAGCTACTTTTAAAAACCCAGTTTTTATTTTTGCATTCTATAAATACCTCCTCTGCGATTCGAACTTTCAAAACCATGATTGATTTTTCCAATTTCTGTTTTAGGATGTTTTTCTTTTCTACAAAGTCAAAAAAGTCATCCCTTGAAAGACATAGAAAATAATCTTTTGAAATAAATGGAAAACTATGGAAGCATTGGACTCGCTGGACCGAAGAGAAAACAGTGACCAGGCTACAGAGGTGAGAAGTGTCTGGTGAGAGGGAGAGGCCGAGTTAGGTAACATTGTTCCCTGTGGTTTCCGGTTTTATCTTTCCCATCAATTAGTATAATAGGAAAATACTTGTAGTGTTCAATGATGTCTTCCACCGAATCAAACTTCTGAAACACAGAAAAAAAAAAGTTAATGATTTTTAAAATCTCTTTTGTGTCTGTAGGTTTCATTGTGCTTAGAGAAGAGGTAAACCCATTTAACATTTTTGTATTGTAAAGGCATTTCAGAAAGAGATTTTTTTTAAAGGCTGTGGCAAATAAGCTCTTGAAGGATGAATGATAAGAATGATAACATGACACAGGAAAATAAAAGTGCTTGGGGGGACCAAAAGTGAACCCTATGTCAGCTCCCTAAGTTTCCTGCCCACTGAGTTTTCCGCAGAATGGAATCAGATCATGTTGGTCAAGCTCCACTCTATTGTTATCACAGCTTTTCTATCCTATGCCACCTAGATGTGTGAATTGCATAGCAAACAGCCTGTGGCATCTCTATTGCCTCCCTAACCTTGCTCCTAACTCTGACCAGCAAAAATGTAGAAGATCCAGGTTAGAACTGCAGTGAGCTTTCTTTCCAGTAAACCCTCCCATTCTACAGAAGTCTGGTATGCACAGAAAGAATGGTGACAACCACAGGGCTGCCTAGACAATTTAGCTGCCTGGGCTTCTTGTGAGATAATGAGGTAACTGCAGTGACATACAGATAAAGTGCTATGGCAATTTAATGGAAAATAAGATTATTTTATGTTTAGGGGAATCAGGAAGTGCTTTGTCAAGTATGTAGACTTGAAATGGGCTCTATGTTACGGGTCACCTAGACAAGTAGACAAGGGGGTCATTAAAGATATTGAAAGCAACCATTTGATTCAGCAATCCCATTGCTGGGCATCTACCCAAAAGATCCAATGACACTCTACAAAAAAGACACCTGCACTCAAATGTTTATAGCAGCACAATTCATAATTGCAAGGCTGTGGAAATAGCCAAAGTGCCCATCAATCCAAGAATGGATTAATACAATGTGGTATATGTATAGCATGGAGTACTATTCAGCTCTAAGAAACAACGGTGATATAGCACATCTTATATTTTCCTGGTTAGAGCTGGAACCCATACTACTAAGTGAAGTATCCCAAGAGTGGAAAAACAAGCACCACATATACTCACCAGCAAACTGGTACTAACTGAGCAGCACCTAAGTGGACACATAGGTACTATAGTAATAGGGTATTGGGCACGTGGGAGGGGGGAGGGGGGCGGGTATATACATATATAATGAGTGAGATGTGCACCATCTGGGGGATAGTCATGCTGGAAACTCAGACTTGTGGGGGGAGTGGGGGAAAGGGCATTTATTGAAACCTTAAAATTTGTACCCCCATAATATGCCAAAATAAAAAAAAAAGATATTGAAAGCAGATGTTCAGAGCATGACTAAGGGCAGGTGTAGAGAAGACTTGAGTAGATACAGTAATTCCAATTAGGTGATTTTGGATGAGTTTCTGAAGGAGAATATTGAGAGCTAACTATGTAGAGCTTGCTCAACCTGTCTCCCTTGTTTGAAGACAAATTTGATCCCCCTTAGCAAGCCTGTGAGGTGAGCAGGGCATGTCGATTTACCTTTCCCAAGAGCTAAGGGCATTTCGGGGCAGAGAAGTGGATTGTCCTGCTCAGAGTTACACAACCAGAGGCCCAAGACCAGGAATGGAGCCTCCCTTTTCTGGACACGTGTCTGTTCTTTCCATTACACAACTTTGCCTGTGGCTTGTGGCCTCTGGTGTTCCAACAGAGCAGTGTAGAGATGACACAGGCTGAAGGAAAGAACCTGGGGGTGCTACTTGGATTCTGAGTTAGTTTTGTCTACTCCTTCCTCTGCCCAGGACATCCTAGGTGCAGAAATGTTGCAAGGCCTCAGGGATATCCAACAGAGAAGAGGTCCCTGTCCTCTTGGAGATGACATTCTGGTGGGGGCAGACAGAAAATAACTTCCCATATAAACAAATAATTTAATATAGGGATATTTGTTGTGAAAATTATCAGCTCAGGGCTTAAGAACCTCACTAGTTTCCTGAGGGATTCCCTTGGGGTCTGCATGTGTCTGCTGGGAGGAAACATTCTTTTCTGTCAGGGGAGCACTAAATGGAAATGCTAGGAACCTGTGACTTCCATGGTCATCTCCTTCCTGCCATCCTGTGAGGGTGTGAAAAGCAAAGAGACACCACCCTGGGGGCAAAAATTTGGGGAAAGACATGTGGAGTGATGTTTCTTGGTGTTAAGGAGTCTCTGGACCTACCCATTCCTGTCCTTTCTGGTTACCTGGGTCAACAAATCTCCCTACTCCCACCTAAGCTCATTTTTTAAAACATCAAGAGTCCTGATTAAATCTGTAAGCCACTTAACCCCTCTGAGCCCTTTACTGGATCTGTGGCAGAGTTTTCAATGAGACGACCTAAGTGTAAGCCTGTCTTAGTGCATTCGGGCTCCTGGGCAGCTAATTAACAACAGAAATTTATTTCTCACAGTTTTGGAGGCTGGGACATCTAAGATCAAGGAATAGGCAGATTTAGTGTCTGGTGAGGGCTGGTTTCCACATAGATAGTGCTATATCCTCACATGGTGGAAGGAGCAAGGCACCTCCTTAGGCCCTGTTTTATAAAGACACTAATCCTATTCATGAGGGCCCTGCCCTCATTACCTAATTGCCTCCCAGAGGCCCCACCTCCTAAAACCAACACCTTGGATTTCAACACACACGTTTTGGAGGGACACAAACATGCAGACTGTAGCACCACTGCCAATAGGTATACAATAAATATGAGCTCCTACCTGATGCAAAGGGAAGGTAGTTTCCTAGTTGTTTAATGGGGATAGTAATTGTTCTACCGCAGTAGGGTAGTGTGGGCCTTTGAAGCCCCAGTGCCTCAGTTTATAGCCTGTCTCTCCCATCCACTGCTGTGTGACCTGGGGCAAGTTTCTTACACTCTCTGTGCCTCAGTTTCTCTATCTATGGACAGTGTTGGTAACAATTAGGAGCCACCTTTGAAGTTCATTGTAAGAGTGAATTGAGTTGACACATGTACGGTGCAGTGCTCAGAAGAAAGCACAACTCACAGTGGGTGACCAGGAAATGCCAGGTATTGCCATTACCTCCTGTCTTCCAGGTTTGCCAAGAACATCATGAGACAGCATTGAAATCACTCGAGAAGTTTATAGACTGTTATCGTAAGCTTTTAGGAAGAAAAGAATATTCCATATTTCATTTCCAACGTTAAACTAAGGACAAAGTCTTCTTCCTCTTGACAAAACAACGTGTGATTAATGAAAAGTAACTTTTCATGTAGAACTCTTCCACAAAACTGGTCACCCACATTGCTAAGAGGAAATCTTTCCTGGTATCAATCTTCAGAGAGGACATGCTTGATTTGTATTTTTATTAGGATTGTCCCAAAATAATAAAGGCAATATTAATTGTTTTAATAATCAACTACATGAATGACATTTTACATGAAATTATAATTTTAACAGGTAGTAGGAAGCAAGGCAGGCGCAATCAATCATATTGTCATTTCTTATTATTGGATTCTAGTGCCGAACTCACACTGAAATATTGTCCCGAAGAGACTTTTTAATAATATTATAATTAAGCTTTTATATTTGTATTAAATTATTTTTTCAAGGGGACAGAAAATGCCATCCTAATATTAAATCTTAAAATCTGTTTAAATCCTTTGTGTTTATCCTACATATGAACAGTAGGCAATGTTTCCTTGCCAGCAAAGTAAATAAATCTGTTTGGACACACACGTGGGAGTGGAAGAAGGAAATTAGAGTAAAAGAGAAAGAGATATAGATGGCAAGAGAGAAAGAGGACAAGGAAGCAGACAAGGGAAGTGAGAAATAAACAAACCTATGGGTTGTTTGTCTTGGTCTCCTAGTCTTTAAAGTTTAATTTATTAAATAAATATTTTATCATAATTTTTAGAAACTTATAAACATTTGCAGAATAAGGAGAGGTCTGATAATTGAAATTGCTCCTTTCTATGAGATTTCACAGAAATATTGACAAACATGGCTTATAAAACTTAGATTCCAGGCTGACATTTGGTGGCAGGTAGACCTCTACAAGGCGTTTCAGGCAGGTCCCTCCCTGGCTGGCCAGGGCCTGTGTTCTACCAACCTCATTCTTGCTTATGTGCATCTGTACAGCTCGCCACAGATTAACAGGGCACCACCCAAATGGCAGGGACTCAACTGCACTCTGTTCTGTGTTCTCAGAATGGAGTGTTGAGTCTAGCATACTGTAGGCATAAAGTTAATGCTTGGCCAATAAATGAGTAAATGGAGAGGGGAGCTGAATGGCGCCCCCCCCCCATCAATATGTCCATGTCCTAATTGCAGAATCTATGAATAATATCTTATATGTTAAAAGAGTTAATATTATTTTATATGGTAAGATATGGGATTGAGTTAAGGAGGCTGAGAGGGGGAGCTTATCTGTTATCCCCTAGGGCTCTAGAAGCAAGCATGTGTTTCCTGATAAGACAGAAGTTGTGGGAGACTTTTTTTTTATTTCAAATTTTTATGGGGGTACAAGCGTTAGGGTTACATCTATTGCATTTTTACTGCCCAAGTCAGAGCTACGAATGTGCCCCTCCCAGACCATGCGTACTACACCCATTAGGTGTGAATTTACCCACACCCATTAGGTGTGAATTTACCCACGCCCTGATCCCCCTCTAAGCTGCCCGTCCGATCCCCAATGAATGTTACTTCCATATGTGCACATAAGTATTGATCAATTAATACCCATTTGATGGTGAGCACATGTGGTGCTTGTTTTTCCATTCTTGTGATACTTCACTTAGTAGAATGGGCTCCAGCTACATCCAGGATAATACAAGATGTGCTAGATCACCATTGTTTTTTGTGGCTGAGTAGTACTCCATGGTATACTAACCCAAGCATGAGTGGATTAATAAAATGTGGGAGATTTTAATCAGAGAAGGGGAGGAGGCAATGAGACCACACAGGCAGAGATTGGAGTGATGTGGCCATAGCCAGGGACTGCTGACAGCTACCAAAATCTGCCCGAAGCCAACTGGAAGTCTCCCTTGGGGCCTCCAGGGATATGGTCCTGGGGATACCTTAATTTTGGTGTTCTAGCCTCCAGCACAGTGAAAGACTAAATTTCTGTTGTTTTAAGCCATGCAGTTTGTGGGGGAACTGATAGTTACTAAGCACCTGCCTCACTATGTCTGCCACTGTATTTGCATCATCTCATCTTACTCTCAAAATAACTCCCATGAGTTAAGTGTTGCTGCATCATGTGTGGTTAAATTCTAAAGTTTGTAAGAAAGCTAAAACACACACACACACACACACACACACACACACACACACACAATTAACATTATCCTTGAAAATGCTATTTCCCATTAAGTTTTTCCTGCGGACTTGGGTGAAGATGCTATTTCTTTATCCGAGCTCTAGATGAAGTAGCTCATAGTTGGCTTGCATTTAGCAGAGCTTTGTTGTATCAAATTATTATTATTTTTTAAATTAAAGATGTGAGATTCTTCCTCAGCAAGACAAAGGGCTCAGGCTGTGACAGGCACGATCCAGACCATCTTACTGTTATACCAGGGCCTGGCTTCCTCAGAGGAAAGCCAGGAAGAACTACCTGTAGACCCCGGCACCTAGTAAGATCCATGCGAGTTAACTATGCTTCAACTGTGATTCAGCCTGCAATGTTTTCAAGCAGGTGGGGGACTGTTTGCTCTTAGCCATGATGTTATCTGAGACAGTATGAGGAAGTCAGTATTTTTGCAAAGTTATGTTGAATCCCAGTGTTGCCATTTACCAGCTGTGACCTTGGGCCAGTTACTTAGCATTTCGGTGCCTCAGTTTCACCATTTGCTAAATGAAGATATCAGCAGCACCTACTTCAACGGGTGGCTAAGAGGATTCAACAGATGACGTTAGTTAATAATTGTTAATTGCACAGAATAATGCCTGTGCATGTAAAACACCACCAAAACCTACGGTTCTGCCTTGGATTTCTTCCTTACTGCTTGATTTGTTTATATATATTTATATTATTGATGAAAGCTTTAATTGATTCATTCTTTCACCTATGTAAATGAATGTAAGTGTTCAACACATATGTGAAAAGGAAAGTCTTGATTGGGAGATGCAAGGGAGGAGAAAATTCCAGATGAACTAAAAAATGGGCTTTTTAAAACAGGCGTTTGATTCCCTAAGGGGTCCTCGGTGACAATAATTAGAGCAGCTCAGCTGGACATGGAGGGTCTGATCCATGGGCTGCTGTAGGAGACGGCTCCTTCTTTGTGAGGACAGTCGGTGAGTGAACTGTTGCCAGTCTGATCGAATGCTATTAGGATGTTACTACAGAGCCGCTCTGCTTCCTCTCTTTTATTAGCAGACCGAAATATGGCATATTGGGAAAAAAAAAGCTGTGACGATGTTACAGGTCTCAGTTTCCTTACCAGTCAATGGGGTTCAATGATGTGTGCCTTCCAGAGCTTTATCAGGGACCCAATGAGAGAGCAAATGAAACAGTGTCTGGCAGAGGGCACAGCGCATGTGAAGACACATGCATGTCCCTTTCCCATGTCCTCTAAGGAAAAGGAATCCTTAAACCCAAGCATTTAAACATCATATAATGCTTTCTTAAAAATGAGAAATTCTATGAGCTGGAAGATGTAGAAGGATAAAGAAAAATTGAGCTGAAAAGTCCATGGACATAGGCATCTCGGGGAGCCATCTCCTAGTTATTAAAATGACTCAGTAGTAATAATGAAGATAGAATAACTAATATTTATCATTGGCTTGATAGGGCCCAGGCACTGTTCTGAGCGTTTTACATTTATGAACTTGGCTAGTCCTTACTACGTAACGAAGAATTGGCCACTTTTGTTTTTAGTTTTGACATAACGCTTTCTCAACGTGGTTGCATTTGGCAGATTTGTGTATTAATCTATTTATTCACTCATGCACTTGCTCAATGCCAAAATGTTCCTGGGGTGTAGCAAAGGCTGATGAACTGATGCTGTTGCTCATGGGTGCTGACAACTCCTCTCTGAGCCATGTGTGAGTCTTAAAAAAGGGCTCTGAGTCAGACACTGGATTTAAGCTGTAATCAAGCAGGATTTTCACATGAGTGCCTACCTAAAGCCTTTGGCAGCCCTGGCAATATTCCCTATTTTGTTATCTATAGAAGATAATTGACATCTATGTGAAATTTCTGGTTTTGTACTATCTTAGTTTGCTAAGGCTACCAGAACTAAGTACCTCAGACTAAGCGGCTTAAACAATAGAAACTTATTTCTCACAGTTCTGGAGGCTGGAAGTCCAGGATTATGGTGTTGGCAGGGTTGGTCTCTCCTGAGGCCTCTCTCCTTGGCTTGCAGAAGGTTGCTTTTTCCCTGTGTCCTCATGTGGTCTTCCCTCTGTGCATGTCTGTGTCTTATTCTCCTCTTCTTTTATTGGATTAGGGCTCCATGACCTCATTTAACCTTAATTACCTCTGTAAAGACTCTGTTTCCAAATACAGTCGCATTCTGAAGTACTGGTGGTTAGGACTTCAACATGTGAATTTTGGGGAATTTTGGGGACCCAATTCAGCCACTTAATATACTCTCACAGATAAAATTGAGGTCTGGAGATGCTAAATATGGATCACTGAATTATAAAAGTCTAGACTTTAGAAGAAGACTTACATCTGAAGAAATTAAAGCCCAGAGAGGTTCAGAGACTGGCCTGAGCTCACCTCCCATGTTAATGGTGACTCAGAACTAACTAACTAACTAACTAACTAACTAACTAACTAACTAACTAACTAACTAACTTCCTTCCTTCCTTCCTTCCTTCCTTCCTTCCTTCCTTCCTTCCTTCCTTCCTTCCTTCCATCCATCCATCAAAAGAAGAGCTGAAAGAGCAACTCACCCTCTCACATACTCCCTGTGTATCTTTGGCTATTTATTGAATTTTCTGAGCCTCAGTTTCCCTCCATCTAAGATAAGAATGATCATTATGGCAAAGAATTATTGAGGATTAAAATAAGATTATGCAGATAGACTATGCCTGGCACATAAAGGTTATTAATGAACATTTTAATGATTTATTCTTTCACCTAGCCTCCTGTCAGCAGGCCTGTTGCTGAGGACAAGCATGCTCATGGCCTGAATGCTGTGACTGAGTTCACATTCCTTCTGGGGACACACACCTGCAGATCCAGAATGCTGGCAGACATCAGAAAATGTCTGCAGTGGGCATTTCAGCACTGGGGAGGGGCTTAGCATGGGCTTCCGTGGAGGCTTCCTGGTAGGCAGAATTCAGATGTGTTTTGTAGAATGAGTTTTATTAAAAGGCAAAGTTTTATTTAAAAGGCAAAGCTAGATGGGGGTGCATGGAAGGGTCAGGATTGGCTGCTGGCCTGCTGGTGTAGACATGTGGGATAGAGGGGTCAGATTGCACCCTCTTCCTCCAGGGCAGTGCTCTCTTCTCCTATCCCATGATCATGGGGATGTGAAGACTCTGCCAGCATCCTCCAAACTCTCCCTTTACTTGTTCCTTTCAGCCTGGAAAAGGGAAGCAGTTAAGTTTTACCTACCTCATCTCCTCTGAGTCCTGTCCCCAGGGCGAACTGCTGATTCCTCTCCAGAAAGCGGATTTTCACATTGTAGACTTTGTTCCCATAAAACACCACTAAAACGTAGGGCTCTGCCTTGGATTTCGTGGAACAATCTCGGACCAAGAAAGTACCATCCTGAAGCAAAAGGAATAATGGTCACCTTCTCAGAATGTTTGCATGTGTAAGAATCCCAAATGGACTTAGTTTTTAGCAAACTATAATAATTCAGTAAGTTTTTATGGAGTGTCTGTATATATAGGGTTCTTGTCATTTTCTGGGAAGTTTACCAGTTGGATGGTGACACTCCTTTCTTCCAATTCTTCCATTATCCCCTACCCGACCTCAGCATAATGCCTGCAGCCTTAGCATGACGTTCATGGATAAATGTACCAACCTGTCTTGTGGTTTGCTCTCTCATCGCTCCTGCAGCCTCCTGCCCCTGGTTCGTGGCTCCAGCCCAGCCTCGATTTCCTGAAGGCACTCTCAGCTTTGGGGATCCCAGCTTTTGCATGTGCTACTCCTTGCATGGATAAACTCTTCTCCTGCCCCCTCCCCAGTGTGCTCCTCTTCATCTGTCAGTGTTCACCTATTTCCTGTTCTGCCTGATGCTGGGGTATTATTCTAGAGACAGTGGGAGCCATCACAGGCTTTGCACAGGAGAAACTTTTAACCTAATATATTGGACCTCTGTATGGAGAAATGTCAGTGCAGGACTAGGGTTCCTGAAAGAGGTGGGGGCTTCGAAGTCACTGTTATCAAAATAAGTGGAAAGACCCTCTGGGGAAAGTGGAAGTATGGCCTAATGTGAGGTGAAGGCAAGTGCAGGGCAAGGAGGAGGAGACAGGAAAGGCATCAGGGATGTCTGAGAGATGAAGGAAAACCAGAAACTTCAGCGTTACAGAAGCCAAGGGGAGGAGAGAGAGGGTTTCCAAAAGAAGGTCAGCAGTGTCAAATGGCCCAAGGGCTGAGGATAGGACGTGGATCAGAAATAACCAGATACACTCCAGGGAATAGCTCAGGGTGGAGGCCTGGTCATCAAAGACTGAGATATGGAGCAATCCTTCTGAACCTACATGTGCCAACCAGGCTGAGTTTTGTGGTTATATTGTGTCATTTCCATGATGAAAATGACAGAAAAATCTGTACCTGTGGTTGTATGCATTATTGTGTAAATGGTTATAACTGATCTCTAAGGAGTAGACATTATAGATATAAATATTATATATGATTTATATCTATAATAATTATGATATATAATCATCTCTCTTATATAGATTATATATAATACTTATATATATTATCTATAATTAATATGTATGGGTTTTATAGATATAGATCTATAAAAGTGGTATTATTACTATATAACAATACTTTAAGTATACTACATTTGCAAATAATGTGGTAACACCATAGTAATGTTAATGATGATGCTGGCAGTTGCATGGAGAATTGCCCTCAAGGTGCCAAGCACTTTACACACATCATCTCATTTGTTCTTTAAATAAATGTCAAAGGAGGTATTTTATTCTCATTTTAAAGGTAAGGCAATAAGAGTCTAAGAGCTTAAGTGAATCCCTTAAAGCATTCCAGTGAATAAAACAGAATACCTAAAAGTCAAACCAAATTATTACTCCCAATATATAAAAATGGGATTGAGGAATTTTCTGGAACTTGTTTGGCCTAAAACATTTAGCGATAATGAACCCTTAATACTCAATCACAAAACATTGCCAAAGATCAGAAAAAGAGAGGAGGCCAAAATTCATTGCCAGGTTTTGGGTTTATCATCTTAAACTTGCAATAAATTTGTCAAAATGAATCTGGGCAATCCTGCAGTTTAAATTAAATTATCATTTATAAATAGGAAACACATTTTGACAAAGCTGAGACAAACAAAAGGAAAATATGAAAAAGAAAAATATGAAGTTATTCCACTGAGATTTTATATTCTTAACGTTACTTAGGGAGAGGCAGAAGTAGGCACACAGAAAGTGAGGAAGGGAACATTTGCTAAGTGCCAAAATGCTGCCAGAAGGACATGAGGTGACATATATGCTGCTCTTCTAGCACGGTCCACACAGGAGATCCTGGAAGCAGGTCTACTGAGAGTCATTTTTCTGATGGAAAACAGACTCCGAGACTGCAGTGGTGAACCGAGCACTGATCAGCCATGAAGGGAAGCCAAGGTTGGAGTCTCCCACCCACCATGCTTTCCATTCTGCCACTGCAGGGCCAGATTCCATGGAGAGAGGAAGTGGAGAGCCTTGAGATGGAACAACAGCCAACCCCACCTGTGGCCCTCCACCAAGGCTATAAAGAATTGTAATGGTGACTAGAGGCAGCTGTGGTTTTGTGAAAAGAGCACTGATCTGGCATACACGTTCTGCCACTTTGTGACCAAGACTTTGGCTTAGCTTCAGTTTCCTGATCTGGGAAATAGGGTAGTTCTATTTCTTTCTTATATGTTCAAGATGGTTTGTTAGCATTGGCAGAGGTTTCCTGCTGCTCTAACAAATTACCATGAAATTAGCAGCTTAAAACACAAGTGTATTATCTTACAGTTCAGGAGGTCAGACGTCCAGCATGGATCCTACTGGGCTAAAATCAATAGAAAAGACCTGTTTCCATGACTTTTCCAATTTCTAGAGGGCACCTGAATTCTTGGTTTGTGGCCCCCTCCCCTATCAGCCTGACAACTACTTTTATTATAGCATCTCTTCTTTGACACTCCTGCTTCCCTCTTCTAAGGATACTTGTAGTTATACTGAACCCATCCAGATAATCCATGATAACCTCCCCATCTCAGGATCCTTAACTTAATCATATCTGCAAAGTTCCTTTTTCTATGTAAGGTGACATATTCACAGGTTCTATGGATTAAGATGTGGACATTTGACGGGGTATGATTCTGTTTATCATAGCGATTTAGATATAATTTATTTTATTTAATTTAAAGCATCAATTCTGAGGGCTAGGTTTTCTTGAAATTTATCAGAAACTTCTTATTTATTCACTAATTAATTATTTCATTCATTTTTAATTTTAATTTTTTTTTTTTTTTGAGACAGAGTCTCACTTTGTTGTCCAGGCTAGAGTGAGTGCCGTGGCGTCAGCCTAGCTCACAGCAACCTCAAACTCCTGGGCTCAAGCGATCCTCCTGCCTCAGCCTCCTGAGTAGCTGGGACTACAGGCATGCACCACCATGCCAGGCTAATTTTTTTTATATATATATCAGTTGGCCAATTAATTTCTTTCTATTTATAGTAGAGACGGGGTCTCGCTCTTGCTCAGGCTGGTTTTGAACTCCTGACCTTGAGCAATCCTCCCGCCTCGGCCTCCCAAGAGCTAGGATTACAGGCGTGAGCCACAGCGCCCGGCTATTTCATTCATTTTTATGGTTCCTCATTCATCAATGATTATTGTTCTGACTAGTTGAGGTTAGATTTTGGTGTTGCATCAGCTTTGAGAGACTTTCTATCACATCTAAGCAATCTAGTATAATTCTCTGCACCTAGAGATGTTTGGGATGACAGTTGTGGGAGTCATTTGACCTGATTACACATATTCCAGTTCTTTTGTCCCTTTGGTTACATGGCAGGTTTGTACTCTTAACTACTTTGAAGTTAGATTTGGTCGTGTGACTATTTTTGGTTAATGATAAGTGAGTAGAGGTGAAGTATGTTATTTCTCCCATCCGAGTACTGACTAGTCCTGACCCTGCTTAGCTTCTAAGATCAGATGAGATTGGGTGTGTTCAGGGTGGTATGGCCATAGACAGGATGTGTTAAGCACCAGAGTGTGTAGGTAGAAGCACATCCTTGAGATGGAGCCTTCAGCAACCTGCGTTGCAACCACCCAAACCTGTCTTGGACACGGAGTGTAAGCAAGAAATAAAATTCCATTGTGCTAAGCAACTGAAATCTTGGGATTGTTTGTTGCTGCAGCATAACCTATCATAGCCTGACTATTACAGTATTTATAATCACTTCTCTTTTCTTGAAGCAGTGAGACATAAAGACCTAACTGTACCTTGGGAAGACTTGAGTAAGGAGATGAAACTTGAAGAAAGCAGGAGAAAGCGTTTTCACTGTGACTTTGGTACCCTAGCTTCCATATTTGAGCTTCAGAATAGTTCCTCAGGGTCAATTTTGCTATTTTTAATTTTACAAATACAGAAACCTAGACATAAAGTTATTTAGAATCTTGAGAAAGTCACACAGCTGATGTGTGGCACAACTAAGCTTTTGATCTGCAGCTCTCCATTTCAAATCCCCTTTTCAGTTACAACCTCCCCAGCGCTGACAAACACAGGGTGATGTGGGACCACTACATCAGAGCACGTTGCTTGTCACGTCCTGTGATCTACTAGCAGAAAACCCTAAGATGACTACAGAAACAATGACGATAGGCCCTGCAGATGGCATTACCTTGTTCTCCTTCATTAACGCTGCCTCTGCCGCCTGGCGACTGTGTTCTCCAATGTACCATTCGCTGTTCTGGGCATCCTGCAGTGATCAATATTTCAGAGTCGAAGGGAAGTACTAATTATTTATTAATTCAAAATTTACTTTTGTTCCACCAATGTCCAATCACAGTTTAATTTATAGCAGACATTTAGTATATTCTATACACAAAATTTAGTCCCTGAACCTGGAGGAGTCCACAGACTCTTGGGGAAGAGAGACACAGAAAAAGTAACTGCAGTTGGGGAATTCAGAAGGTGATGGGAATGAGAGAGTCCGTCACTGGACGTAACCAGAAACTGCACTTTACCAGTTGACCAAGGCCCTTTGGCATCACCCTCAGCATGGATAATAAACCCTCCAGCTCTCAGTGCTTTCTGAATCTGCACCTGCTGACACTTGCTGAGGTGGGATGCATATTGTTCGTGGAGCTTGCACTACCCTGGTCATCCTAAAAACAGCAGGGAGAGAGAGACAGGTGCAGATATAGAGCATCTCAGTGCTGCTTGCACCGAGGCACATGTGGCAAAATTGGGATTGGAACCCTAGTGTGTCTGGCTTTCTCCCTGTGCCACAATACCTTATTTATATAGATGTCAAATGATTTTAAATTATTTTATTTGTAAAATGCACTGTAACAGTGAGCAGGAAGGGGAGTCAGGGAGATGTACTGTGGGCCTGCAATTCCTTCACAGGGTTCCAGGCATCATAATTAAATAATGCACTGTGTGAGTCCAGCACCTGTAAGGAATTGTTCAATATCCCAATCCATCCCTATGATTCCTGTGTGAGGTAAGCATGTCAGGTAGTGTTAGCCCTAGTGAAGACAGAGACTGGAGCTCAGAAATCTGTCATGTGGTTGGCAAGAGTTAGGAATATGACATCAGGTCTTTGGTCTGTCAATCCAAGTCTCTGTTCCTCCCAGCATAAACTTGATCCATCCAATAATGGGGAGACCCAGAGCATGGGAACACCATCTGGAAAGGCATGAACCAGCTCCAACCTCTGCAGCCTCACATCCTGCTGCCTGTCTCAGGACATAGGTCTGGCCAGCCGGATGTGCTTGCTGTTCTCTGGACACGCACAGCTTCAGAGGTTGGCAAGAACTAGCCCTTCTGCCTGGAATTCCTCCTGGTCCTCACCCTGCCTGCCTACCTAGCTTGGCCATTCTCTTCCACCAAGATTGGAAACAAAAGTCACTTCTTAATTGAGGTCTCCTTTGTAATAAACTTTGCCACCTAGTTCCTATCCTCAGGAGAGAGATGGTACCGGGAGGGTCCAGTGGCAGGACCAGCCCTGCTTTGCTCCAGCAGAGCCATGTGCCAGTCTCTGGGGACAAAGGGAACCTCAGGCTTGACAGTCATGGTGTGTTTCATCTGCTCTGATTTTATTTATTTATCCAAGTTGGAAGATACTTAGAGATTTTACAGTCCTGTGTTTCTCCAGATGTGGTCATGAAGGATGGCTGGTGAGTTTAGGTGGTGCTCAAGAACAGTATTATCTAACTCTAAATCACTCAGGGGGAGGGAGAAATATTTCCCTTTCTGTTCTTTTTCTGACCCTCTGAATACAGAATACAAAATCTCATTGATAAGAGGAAGATTTCATTATGGTGTTAATATGTCTTTAGTATTTCTCTGACATTTCTAATCTCTCCTTTAACAGAAGAACAGTGCTTATGCTGAGAGCCATTAGCAGATGATGGGTCCTGCTATAATTTAATAGCATTATTTTGTTTATGCTGCAATGACTTTAAAAAAATTATTGTGAAATATGCATAATATAAGATTCATCACTTTAACCATTTTAAGGGTATAATACAGTGGTATTAAGTACCTACATAATGCTTTGCCACTGTCTGTCTCCAAAACTTTTTCATTATCCCAAACTGAAATTTTGTACCTGCTAAATAATAACTCTCCACCACCTCCACCTCCTCTCCCAGCCTCTGGTAAACATCATTCCACATTCTGTCTCTATGAATTTGTTTATCCTAAGTACTGTGTACAAGTGGAATCATTATTATATTTGTCTTTCTGTGTCTGGCATTTCATTTAGCATAATGTTTTCAAGGTTCATCTATATTGTAGCATGGGTCAGAATTTTATTCCTTTTTAGAGCTGAGTAATATTCCATTGTGTGTGTGTGTGTGTATGATACTTTGTTTTTCCATTCATATAACATTTTATTTAATCATTCATCTGTTAATGGACATTTGGCTTCTTTCCACCTTTGGCTTTCATAACCCAATGCTATTATGAACATAAGTGTACAAATAGCTGTTTGAGTCCCTTCTTTTAGTCCTTTTGGGTATAAACTCAGAAGTGGAATGCTACAATTGCTTTTAAGGCTACTTTCTAACTAGGGTGTATAATAATACTATTTTTCTTAAATTTAGAGTAATGATGCAAAGAAGAAACACAAAGAGTATTAAGTAAATATTATTATCAATAGTATATGGATATGTTACAAATTAAATAGTTGAAATCAGGGCAATCCTGACCTTGCCCAAGCTTCTCTCATGCCTGTGAAGAATCCCAGGGTTTGGGAGGGACCTGGCTTTGGTAGACATCCAGTTAGAACCAAAGCATCCCAGTGCTCATGAAGAAGGTAACGGAGCAAAAGGAAGCTAAGCACATGGCAAGGAGCAAGTATGTGCAGATTTCCTAGGATCTGATTTTAGAGTATTAGACCCTTTTTAGAAGAGGTAAAAATCAGTACAGATATAAGGACAAAAAAAGACCTGTAGGATACTGTAGGAATTATGAGGAATTGACCAGAGATGTCCTATACAGTCTGCTTCTGCTTGAAAGCCTTCGCAAGCTCTGTGGCAGGACACTGAGTAATAACATGATATGGGATGGGGACCCAGAAGAAGCACATCCTCCAGTGCTTCCTAGTGAAAGACTTTAAAAAGTATTATAATGTCCCAAGGTGATGGAGGAGAGAGCACACAAGCTACGGTGAAAGCTTAATCCCCTCACCATAGAGAAAGATAAGTGCAAAACGGTTCAAGATGAAATGATTCTAGGGATGGAGCATATTTTGGAAAAAAATCAGAAAATAGATGAAGGACAAAGAAGAACATCTGCATCTCTCCCTTCTCTATGTCTCCCTGGGGCAGGGAACATGACTTCTAGCACATTGTCTGGCACATGATGATTGCTCAATTAATGGTCGTTGGACTGTTCAACTGAAATGAGTATGTAATACGTGGATCTTGTGTTAGAAAAAGTATTGCAACACGTAAATCCTAGTTAATCCCCCATGAGATTATTGAACAGCCAGTAAATCTAAAACATAAGTCAAATATCCCTATTTTTTGGATTCATGAAAGAAAAAAAACCACTGAAAATCTGGAGATATGTAAGATAAAGAACCTGGTGAAAGAGTAATATAATACATTGTACAACAAAATACTTTTACAAATATTAAAACTCAATAATATATAGCCAGAGGGAAAAAAATTAAAGCCAAACATAAATAATCTCCTTTTGGGCATTATTCAGTAAAGCCCTGTTTAGATGCTAAGTGCATGTAGAACGACTTGGCAGAGAAGAGTGTGTTTTACCTTTTCATCAGACCTTGCAGGGAGAGGTTTTCTCCAGTTTGTGTTTTTACAGAATGGCTTATTTTCAGGAGGCCCATAGCTGGCTGGAGACCGGCATCTCTGAGGAGAACAGGACTGCATGCTTCCTTTATGATCTGGGAAGAGTAAATTTACATTTATATATGGTTTCTTTACTGACTCAGATTATCTGCAGACAACAGGAAGCCCATCCCTCTGCCTGTCCTTGTGGGGACCTTCTTCGTTTACACCGCATCAGCTCACTCAATGAGTACAGTCCTGTCTGATGGTTCTCTGGCCTCGGCTTTTGCCCTTTCCCCTCTCTTTCTACAGGTTACCTGGAGGAATCTTTCAAAACTATAATTTTTACTATGCTACCCTGCCTGGGAAAATTCCTTCTGTGATTTCCTTTCCTCCTGGAAGAAAATCTAAACATTTTCCTTCTGTTCATAAGCCTCTGAACAGCCTATCTCTTCTTATTTCTCCTTCTTCATCCTTATCACTACTTCATTTTTCCACTTGAGTCTGGCTGTAGTGAACTCTGTTCAGTTTCTTAAACATGCTGAGCTCATTCCTTACTAGGAAACATTTTTTGTTTGTTTTTTAACTTGAAGGAATAATTTTTTTATAAAAATGAAACATAATTTTTTTAACCTGAAAGAATGACAGACAAACTATCATTATTCAGACTTGGATGTTTGGCAGATATTACAAATGAACAAAGCGAGCCTGTTACTTTATGGGAAACAAGGGGAAGTATTTGTTGCCAATCATAAAATTAGACTTTGCATATGCCAAGTGGAATTTGGGAAAGCTTGTCTCTGCCACTGTGACACAGCAGAATTCCAATAGTTAGACTTTTCTGATGAAACCAGTGGTGTTACTTGCAAAGGTGATTTTTTAAAGAGTTATATAATAACGTATATTAACATTGGAAGATGTATTCATGTCATGAACCATTATTTTCCAAGTGAACCAGTGCATGATGCTGCCAAATCATGCCTGGGTAGAAGATAAATTCAAGTACAAGGCAGACCAGTGGATTTTAAAGTAACAGAATACAAAAGCTCATTGATAAAGTTTTGATTTCACATGGCACCTAAGTTTTAAGATATGCCACTTGTCAAATTTTGATGTGGTATTTTCTCTATATAATTCAATCAAAATAACATGTTTCCATTGCATGTCCTTCCAGTAATTGAAGTGAGAATTGTAAGGAGGAATATCAAGCAAAACAATTGTAAATACATTGGTAATTTTATGCAAGGATTAACTGTTTAAAAAACTCATAAAACCTTGAGGGTATAAAAACAATATGTAAATAAAATGCTGGAGAAAAATACTATATAAAATGGAAGAGAGGTGATCCATGTGAAGACTGGATTATAAGCTTTACAGCCATAATTCAGTTGAAAAAATATAACCAAAGTTACAGTCCCAGTTAGGAGCTTAACAAGAACTTTGACAGGATGGCCTACTTTTGACCCAGTAAATTTTTGAGAAGAAATACTAAATAAAACAGTAGCAAATATTTACATGGCAGTTACCATAACATTTAGATTATAACTCTATTTATTCTGCTTCTTATCACCAAAAAAACAAATTTCTCTCTAAGTTTACTAAGAAAAATAAACCATACTCCTGAGATGTTGGCAGTTTTATTTTAATGGTACCAAGGATTGTAGCTCTTATTGTTGAGCCTAAGAATGTTTATTATGAGAGCTTATGTGTATTGAAATATTTGTTGCAGAAAGCTGTTTAATCACTTAAAGTTTAAATTGCATTTATCATGGTAAGTTAATTTTGCCCACCACTTTATGACCTTAAAAATAGGAATAAAGCTAGAGATATTCCCTCTTTTAAAATTTTATTTTATATGTAAAAAAGCTTAATTTTCAAACACACTGAAGAATCCATACTATCAGAATTAAAGCATTCCAAGTTTTTTATATTATTTGGAATGAAGATATGAACTTTGGATTTTTAAAATTCAAGCATGCTTTTATTTAAGATGTTTAGAGTAATAATAAGAATAATATTAGAATGTATAACTTCCTAGAAAGAGAGAGAAAGGAGAATAAAGAGATAAATCTAACATATGGCAGAAAGAAACAAAAAAGTCAATACAAAACAGGGTAAGTGGGAGGCACAAAAAATGTCAGAACAGATCTAAAAATATTAGTAACTCAATAAATATCAAAAGTACAAACTTAGCATTTAAAGATCAAATGCAGGTTGTTTTAATTCTAGTTATATACTAATGCACATCTAAAGTCTAATAACACAGTGAGCTCATAAATGAAAGGATGGAGAATTGTACCCTAAGAAAATCCTAGCCAATAACAGAGCTATACTAATATAAAATAGAATATAATTAAAAACTTTGTTTTAAATTATAGTGAAGCAGTAGGTAGAGGCTTGTTATTTAAATGGCCATAAATAACTTTTCAACATGGATTGAAGCAATAAGAACGTACTTGAGAGGAGAAAATAACCATTATCAGCATTTCTTATCACTTAGACTGTGTTGCATACATAATGGTGTTCAGTGATTATGAATTTTTCATGATATCATAGCAACTGATTTATTATTTTTTAACTGTGAGTGCCTCATTTGAATATTTAAAAAGTCTTACTTGAAAAAAGAGCAATTGGAAATGGTTATGCATTGCAGTCTATTCAGAGAATAAGTTAAATAAAACAAAACAAAGAAACAAAAAGAACAACTTTGCCAAGTGATTTTTCCCTACAGGCCTGGGTTGATTTTTGTTGAATGAATGAATGAATGAATGAAATTCTGAGCCTGTAACCCACTTTAAGTAGTTAATTGATTTTGTTGGAAAATAATGGAAACAGCTAATCTTTGGAAAGTTTTTCTTACATAACACTTTATAACTCATAGGACTCTCCTAGTTGGAGAATGGGGGAAGGAGGGTCACAGAAATGAAGATACAAGGTAAGTGGAAAAACATTGGGAATAGCATAGCATAGGTAGTCAATAAAATTTGAGGCGGTATATCCTAATAAAAAAGGCATGGGTTGAAAATCATACCGATATCAATAATTACTAATATTTTAAAATTCTTATGTAGGTAAAGCTCTTAGTACAATGCCTGACCCATACCTGTTACTCCATAAATGCTGCTGTGAGTGTTGCCCATCTTATTAGAGAAATGCAGCTCTAAATCTTTATGTTGTAACTTATAATAAAGAATTTTATTTTAAGCAAATAAACCATAAATTTTTATTAGAAAATTTTAATTTTCCCTTACACACAATTTAAAAAAACAATTTTATAAGAAATAAAGCCATGTATTTTAAATAAAATAAAACCATTAGTGGAAAAAAACTAAAAACAAATGAAAAGAAAGGGCATTTATTGAAACCTTAAAATCTGTACCCCCATAATATGCCAAAATAAAAAAAAAGAAAATAAATCACCCATAATCCCAATTCAGAGAATGATATTGTTACTATTTTGGAGTATAACCAAGCCTTTCTGGACACTCTTCCAACACATCAAAATATTTTTTTGCCCCGAGATCTCCTTGCTTGGGATCCTAATAGTTTAGTCTGAATTCATTTACTAAAGAATTGAGCCAAATCTGTTTATCCATCAGTAACTGAACTAATAAGAATAGTTGAACTTTTCCAAAATTCTTTTCTTATTTGTAGAATAAGTATAATAATATCTACATCTACAGAGGTATAGATTTCACTATTCCATGTGAATGCCCACACCTGAAGCATTCAAATTATTTAATAAAACCAGTAATCTATGGAGAGCCTACTAGACTAAGAATTCTAGGAGGGTAGCAATTGTGTATTGTACTTAATATCACCAAGTACTGGTGATCCACAGATGAATTTTTACCCAGTAGAGTGAATATATCAGTTCAGTAAGTTGATGGGGAAGCATCTTAAGAGCTTAAACGCTGGTTAGTAGAAGGGTGTCTCTATTCTGGGTTCTTCCAGCCCAGCCTGATTTTGGGTACAAACCATGTGCTTGGTGGATGTTTGTGAGGAATTAATGGAAGCCAAAACATTTCCCCATCCATCCCAGTCCTCTTTAATCAACCTTGTTTCCTCTGAGATGAGTGGAAAACAAGCCTGGTACAAATGACACACTCACAGCCCCAGGATGTTTGACTGGACTCTTATCTGTGAAGGCTGTCCCCATCACTAACACTTCTATTCCATTCTTCAATTGCTCTTTATTTTTTCATTTGTGCATGATTTTGTTTTTCAGGTTAAGGTTAAGACTCTGGATTCCTCTCTAAACTATGATTCTGCTTCCCCATCCCTGCAACATATATTCAGAACCTCATAAATAGTGCCCTTTCTGGGTCTGTTCAGCTCCATTTCATCTTTGTCCACCCAGGTCCTATTTCTGACATTTGATGCCTAGGGTTTGAGTCCATTGAGTTAATCACAGCCCTCTTTGGGCACCTTTTGATAAAGGAACCCTATCTTGGGAAACACCTATTAGCAATGTGTACATTAGGGGAAATGAGTTTATCAGATTGGTTTTCCAACCTAAGGCCCAAATGGCACATAGCAGAAGTGAAATGAAGTCATGATGGAAGCCAGGGAGAAAACTCAGGCTATTAAGGTCAAGTGAATAGAGAGAATAAAAGGGAATGCAGAAAAGAAAGAAGGATATTAAAATATAACAGTTGCCTAGTATGTGCCAAGCAGAGGGCTATGTGTGTGTGCATGTGTTATATTAATATTAATATATGAGTTAATGTTTTAATTTTATGAATAGGAGAGGGTGAAACCCAAAGAATTAGCTTGCTCAAAGTGACCCTATTGTAGGGAGAGAGGCAGAATTGGGGTGAAGATCAGCAGAAACCCTCACTCTTTCCTGTACACCCATGGGCTTTACTTCCTTCGGCCCCAAACCCTCTTTTCTGGCTCAACAGAAGAACACAGAATCTTTTTGGTGTATAGAGCAAAGGAAGAAAGACAAACAGATATGATAGATCTAATTTGGACAAAATAATAGTAATAGTATCCTAACGTACCACTAATAGTTATGATACTCTATTTATACAGTGCTTTAGACATCACCACAGACATGGTATCCTTATGATTTTTATCTTTACAAAGGGGTCAGTTTTATTTTTTCCATTTCACAGATGTTTCTTAAGATAAATTTACTGTATGCCTAGTGGATTGGGAAAAACTAAAAGTTTGTCAAAAACAACTGTTGGAGAGGATGGGGAGGAAGGGGAGCTCATAAACTATCGGTGAGACTAATTGAAAGGTCTACTTAGGAAAACACATCTAGGACAACTGAAGAGATGCAGATCCTAAGACACAGCAGTTTCACTCTTACAAAGAGAAATTGTCATACTGTGTCCATGGGAAGACATCTGCACTAGTGTTCAGGGCATAATGATGAGAAAAAAAACCTGGAAACTGCCTAAGAGATCATATATAATTATGGAACAAAATTATGTCATATTAACACAATGGAACAGTATCGATGAACATGAGTTAATTACATCTACACACATCAGCTCAGTGACTCGGGTTCATGAAAGTTAAGTCACAGTGCATGAATATCATAGTACAATAACTTACCTATTTATTTTGTAATTCTTATGTAACGTGCTCTTACCTCTGTTTTGCACACTGGGGTTTTTCATCACGAATGAAGAGCTAAAAGTAAATGTTAGAATTGAAAGAATGTTAGTATTTCCTTTGGTGATAAAATTCCACTCAGAGGCAAGGTCAATGATAGTGGTCTGAAGTCACATTCACAAAGCACTTTATATTTTATTGGATATTCTAGAGGAATCATTTGCTTTGGCACTAGGAGGCTGATTCTTTTCCTTTCTCAAGACTGGCAAATATTAGATATGGAACAAATTGGCTGATCCATATAAGTTCTTCTCATCTCATTTCAGGGAGCACATATCATGATTCTTTACTTTTTGGAGCCATGAGTTTAGACTTGCTTTGTTGGTATAGTTGCTATAGAAAATAATATTTGGCTGGTTGGGGGCTCATAGTCTATAGAACTGTTTACCAACTGAGAGCCAACCATAGCATGGAAGAAGAGTATAGAAATCATTTTATTCCTTCTTGAAATATGAGTGGGCTAAGAAGACTGTATGGATTATTTTGAAAAATCCATAAAGAAAGAGGGATTATAAAAATGTAAGACAAACAAAATAACAATATGCATGTTTAAACACACCAAAAATGATGTTACCAAGACAGTTCATCAATGGCTTTACTTTACTTAATACTTAGCTCTAATTTTCCATTTTGTATTGTGGTCAGCATCCATATAAACTCCAGGTGCTACAACAGTTAAATCTAATTACATGGGGCATACTTTGTACCAAGGATTGTCCTATTGACTAAAGCCTCTGGGTTAATTAGATAAAACAAGACTCTTTTCTAGCACTGATGAAATCAACTGAGTATATATCTGGTTTTCGTTATCTCCACGAAAGCCTGGAGTCTTACAGCATGCTCCGTAAGTAGAAATGCTACCAGTTCATCCAACCACCAGACTGGACTGTCATCACCAGTCATCAGTAGTCAGATTTCTACTGATATTCAAGCTTTGATGCTGTTAAAACCAGAATCCCGGCCAGGCGAGGTGGCTCACGCCTGTAATCCTAGCTCTTGGGAGGCCGAGGCAGGCGGATTGCTCAAGGTCAGGAGTTCAAAACCAGCCTGAGCAAGAGTGAGACCCCGTCTCTACTATAAATAGAAAGAAATTAATTGGCCAACTGATATATATATATATAAAATTAGCTGGGCATGGTGGCACATGCCTGTAGTCCCAGCTACTCGGGAGGCTGAGGCAGTAGGATCCCTTGAGCCCAGGAGTTTGAGGTTGCTGTGAGCTAGACTGACGCCACGGCACTCACTCTAGCCTGGACAACAAAGCAAGACTCTGTCTCAAAAAAAACCAAAAAACAAAAAAAACCCACCAGAATCCCTTTATAAGAAGCCAGTGTACGGTTTGTTAAATGTCTGGGAAAAAATGAATAGTAAAATTTCTCTGCCCTAATTTTTTCAGGATTTTTTGAAAATAATTGAAGGAATAGAAATATCCTCTGATAATATTCTAGAAGTATATAGTTTATAAGACCACAATAAGAAAAAAAAGCAAAAACAAAAATAAAAATGATGATTCATTTAACAAACATATGCTGAACACTTACTAGGCACATGCTGTGTTTGGGGAAATATAAAATGAGTAAGACATGGCCTTTGCCTTAATGGAACTTAGTTTATGGAGGTGAGAATCCTTGTACCATAATCATAATGTAGGGTAAATGCCATGGTACAAATGAGTACAACACAAGGTTCTGTGGCAGTAAAAGGACATTTAAAACAGAGAAAATTGCTTTGGGTCTCAGGAATGCCTTCCTTGGAATAATGCTCACTAAGCTGACTCCCTAAAAGACAAACAGGAGTGAGAGTATGTTCCAGGCACTCCCAGAAGGAGCAGCATGTGCAAAGGCTCACAAAGAGGCAAGAAAATATGGCCTATTCTGCAAGACACCAGAATGTCATTCCTTATGGATGAAAGGTGGGGTGTAGAGGTGGTCAATGTCATTAGAAGGCTGCTGCAATAGTTCAAGCAAAAGTTAATGGTGGCCAGTCTATGCTAGGAGCTGGAAAAATGGAGAAGAAATGGATACATTCAAGATGTGTTTTGGAGGTAGAATTTTGGGAGTTGGAAATGGATTGGATAGGAAGAGTGAGGATGGGAAAGAGAACTTACCATTTACTGAGGTGAGGACGTTTACAGGAAGATATTGTTGGTTTGGGAATGAGAATAGAAATGAAGCGTTCAGTTTTGAACATTTTGAGTTTGTGATGGCCAGGATCTATCTATCTAAAGGAAACTACTCTGTGGGTAATTAGATGTATAGGTCTGGAGCCAAGGGAGGTGGTTTGGGTAGAAGGCAGAGATTTGGGCATTATCAAACAGGGTTAACATTTGACACCATGGATGGATGTGACTCTGTGGGCCTCACTGACAGAAAAGAGCACCTCAGGTGAACTCTGAGGAACACCATCATTTAGAGGTCAGTTGGAGAAAAACTCCAAGATGAGGACTTAGTGGCAACAGCCAGTTAAGAGGGGAAGAAAAATCAGGAGACTTTGTTTGTTTAGTTTATTGAACAGACAGAAGCAGCCAAAACCACATTAAACAACTACTACACATATGAGTCCAATTGGAGAGAGCTCATTATTTTTTCACTACAATATGATAGACTTTTTTCTCTCCCTTTCAGGAAATTACATTAAGAAAGCGTATTGTGGTATGAGGAAGAGGTTTTTTTTTTTTTTATTTTATCTATTTATTTTTTTTTATCAGTTGGGGACTTAAACAGTGAAAAGCCTGGTAAGAGTTATGAAGTCATAGTCCCAATACGCACAGGCTGAAGAGTGGGAACGAAGTTACTGAAGGTGCACACTAGGAAAAGGGAAGCCAGTGAGGGAGGGCACACCTGGGGCATGGTGGTCACGCCCCTGATGCATAGGGCTGGCAACAGCAATGAGAGCTGACTTTTATTGGGCTCTTGCAACATGCCTGCCCCTGCCCCAAGTTTCCCGTGTAAGATAGCGATGTCGCCCAAATCACATGGTTCACTAGTGATGAAGTCAGGCTGTCTGACCTCAGTGGATCTCGACTAACTGCTGTTCTATTCTGCCACAAACATGGTATGCTCACAGATTAAATATTTATTGAATAAATAAAAGGCAGCATTTTAGCCATGGAGAGGCACCCAGGTATACTCAGGATTCATGGGCTGCATTTTTAGAATCAAGTCATTGTAAGCAGCATTGGCAGCTGAAAGGTGCCTGGGATTTGAGGTTGGGCTTGACTTCAAGTATTAAAGGACCCATTCTTTCTGGGCCTCAGCTTTTTCTACTGAGGAGTGGATAAGAACTACTCCTGGCTTCATTATGGTTCTAAGGTGGGGTCTGACAGATGGCCGGGAGTTTTCCAGGTAGAGATAGGAGCAAGCATGGGGCAGTGTCAGAGGCAGGAGAATGGTTTGGGCAGATGTCGTGCAGTAAGTGAGGCTGTGGCAGCTTGGTCTGATGCAGCTGCAGTGCAGAAAGGGAGGAGAGAGCAGTTTGAAGTCAGGTGGGAGCCCCTGGTCAGAGTGAGACCATGACAGCCTTACAGCACTCATACTGAAGTCCCTGGGTTTTTTTTTTTTAAGGAAGCCACTACTAATTTTAGTGACTTTGGTCAATGAATCACCTGCTTGAGCCTTAGCTTACTCAACTCTTCAGTTGAGTTGACAGTAGCCACAATAACTTCATCAGTCAAGTATTTAATCAGTTAATGCCATTTTCAATACCTGGTGGTCTATCCATAAAGTGCTGTTCAAAAGTAATGATAAACATTGGTGTGGTCACCAAATGAGAATAGCTAGAAACAACCAACCTTTCCTTCAGATTGACTGGCATCCGTCCCAGTCAGTCCTCTCTAGTTCATGTTCAATCCTTAAAATCCCCCAAACTTCTGTAACACTCAACCACTTATAAATTTCATAATGGACATCATTAAATTAAATAACAGCTGTGATTCACTGGTTTCTTGTGGGCCTCATCATTCGGCTTCAGAAATAAAGGCCAAATATTTTCTTAGTGGTCATTATTCGAAGCAGTATATGACCTGACCCTCAACCTAGGACCCGATGAGGGATTCCTGGCTCCTTACCTGGTAATAGCAGGTGGAATTTCTTGAGTATTTTTGTTTTGTGACAGATGAGATGATTCCGGCTTTATCTGGTGATGAAGAACTATATGAAACAGTGACGTTATATGGTCAGATTGCAAAACAAAAATGAACAAGAACCATTTAAAGCCCACTGGAATGACTATAATTTCATCCAAGTTATCTCTGATTATTAGGAAGGGGCTGTTGGTGGTCAGCGAAAACTGTAACCCATGTATTCTACAACTCTCCTGACTCCTGAGAGTAAGTTTTCCCTGGGGCTATGCAATTGGCTTTGGATATTTACAACCTAGAAAATATTGAACTTCTCAGAAGTACAGAATATTATTAATACATTGGAAGATATTTTAGGATTATTCTACACCAGTTAACTTAAAAGACTTTTAGCATCATTCTCATTCATTCGTTCATTCATTTATATCATTCAACAAATATTTACTGAACACCTGCTATGAGACAGGTACTCTGCCAGAATCTGGGATACAGTGGAGAAGATGACAGACATGGTTTGTACATTATAATGAAAGAAGACAGAAAATAAGCATGCAAGTAGATCAAAAAGAGCATTTCAGACAGTATAATGAAAACAAAGTGCTACTTTGGGTTACAGAGTGACTGTGTGTGTGGTTCAGGAAGACCTTTCTGAGAGAGGGCACCTGAGGAGAAAGTCACACCATAGACCTGTTCGGGGTGATGCAGGGAATGAGGATGCTCAATGCTGGTCCTTAGCACCTGTATTCTCATGGTCTCCCGTGACAGGGCAGGTGAGCTCCCAGGGTTCTGATGTATACCAGCAGTCCCCATCTGGTTACAATCAGGGGTACATTTTCTCAATTTTTTCCCCTTGATCATCAAGTTTTGAAAGTTCTGCCAACCATACAAACTGGAGTTATTTAGTAATACCATATGCCCTTGGTGTTACAACTTTTTATTTCCTTTTTATCATAGATAGAGTTTAACCAGCCACCCAGAATTACCAAGGGCACGTAATAATACTATGATATGAAATTCCATAAAACATTCTCCCAGTTGTGGCCGTAAATAATAAAGCTAAGAATAAATACAGACACCTACGTGTCTTAATTTTGGTTGTTATTCTGTGCTCTATCCAAGGTTGATCATGAACTGGCCGCCTTTGATTGGAGGGCTGTGATTCCTTGAAATGTGAGTCAGTGGCTGGTCCATTAATTACTCAACCCATAAAAGTATTTCATGTCATCAACAGCTACCCAGAGCACCTGTCCCTCTTGAGCTAAACATTGTTGTGTTAATAATCATGGAAGCCCTGATATAACACCTGGACGTTTTAGTTAGGATGTTAAGCCTTATTGTGGGAAAGGACATGGTTTTCATTGGATTTTAAAATTATATAGACCTGGAAACAAACACCCATAACTCCATCAGTAACCCTTGGGGAATCCACAAACATAGGTTAGGCCCTTTTTCAAGTTTAACTTCCGCAATATATAGAGAAGAGTCAACTTGAGATCCACTGAGCAAATGCAACTTGACCCAACCACACAGTGAATTGGTGGCAAACCTCTGAAACCCTAACCCAACATTGCTCCGTTGAGCTATGCTGTCTCTTGTGAACTCTGTAGACCATGACGCAGGCCCTCTGGCCTTGGGCATAATTCTTCATTCTAAGCGAATGGAGAACAGTGTTTTATTTTTATTTATTTATTTTTTTTTGGAGGAAAAAGACAAAGAGGGACATTTAATAATGAAAAAGGGATCAATTCATCAGGAAGATACAACAATATAAACATGTAGGCACCTAACAATAGAACTCCAAAATACATGAAACAAAAACTGACAGAATTGAAGGGAGAAATACACAACACAACTCAACAACACTAGTTGGAACTTCAATAGCCCATTTTCAGTAATGGATAGAACTACTAAACAGAAAATCAGTAAGGATATAGAAGACAGCAACCAACTTGACCTGATTGACATATATAGACCCCTTTGTCCAATGACTGCAGAATTCATTCTTTATAAGTGTACATGAAATATTTTCCAGGATAGACTATTACAGCCTTACCAGGTTCACTGCCCACTGCTCAAGAGGTAGCCAGTACATGAGACAGGAGGGGTTACAGCAGAGAAGAAGTTTAATATCGCAGGTGCCGTGCAAGGCGACAGGAAGAAGTTCTCAAATCTGGGTCCCCAAGAATATGGAAGAAAAGGTTTTTTTTTTTGTTTTTTTATTTTGGCATATTATGGGGGTACAGATTTTAAAGTTTCAATAAATGCCTTTTCCCTCCTCCCGCCGCAAGTCTGAGTTTCCAGCATGACCATCCCCCAGATGGTGCGCATCTCATTCACTATGTATATATATACCCGCCCCACTCCGCCGCTCCCCCCTGCCCAATACCCTATTATTGTAGTACCTATGTGTCCACTTAGGTGCCTATGTGTCCTAGGTACACATAGGTAGGTACATAGGTACACACATGTGTCCATAGGTACACACATGTGAGTACCTATGTGTCCACCAGTTAATACCAGTTTGCTGGTGAATATATGTGGTGCTTGTTTTTCCATTCTTGAGATACTTCACTTAGTAGTATGGGTTCCAGCTCTAACCAGGAAAATATAAGATGTGCTATATCACCATTGTTTCTTAGAGCTGAATAGTACTCCATGGTGTACATATACCACATTTTATTAATCCATTCTTGGATTGATGGGCACTAAAGAGTTTATGAAGAAGTCCCCAAAGGCAATCAAAGCAGCAGCAACAACAACAAAAAATAAATGGGACATGATGAAACTAAAAAGCTTCTGCACAGCCAAAGAAACAGTCATGAAAGTAAACAGACAACCTACAGAATGGGAGAAAATTTTTGCATCCTACGTATCCGATAAAGGGCTGATAACTAGAATATACTTAGAACTCACAAAAATCAGCAAGAAAAAAATCAAATAACCCTATTAAAAAGTGGGCAAAGAACTTGAACAGAAACTTTTCTAAAGAAGACAGAAGAATGGCCAACAAACATATGAAAAAATGCTCATCATCTATAATCATCAGGGAAATGCAAATCAAAACTACAATGAGATACCACTTAACTCCAGTGAGAATGGCCTTTATCAAAAAGTCTCCAAACAATAAATGCTGGTGTGGATGCGGAGAGAGAGGAATGCTCCTACACTGCTGGTGGGACTGCACACTAGTTCAACCTCTGTGGAAAGCAATATGGAGATACCTTAAAGTGATACAAGTGAATCTACCATTTGATCCAGTAATCCCATTGCTGGACATCTACCCAAAAGATCCAATGACACTCTACAAAAAAGACACTTGCACTCGAATGTTTATAGCAGCACAATTCATAATTGCAAGGCTGTGGAGAACAGTGTTTTAAAGGTGAGCATGAAGGGACTACCTGCTTAACATCCTGCCATTTAGGATGTGAGTGTTAGAATGCATGTTTCCGAAATGACAGCAACACTGCACAAGCACTTGTGTGTATGTGTGAGTATAAAAGAGACATATATGTGTGTACAACAGAGGCAGAGGGACATGAAGAGCTTCCCTGGAGGAGGGGGCCAACAATGTCTTTCTAAAGTGGCAGAGAGTGATAGTAGGACTACTTTTGGTCAGTAGCATGTGGTTTAAGAAAGACCTCTCACCCACCCCTGATTTAAATCATCCCGTTTAGATTAGAGAACTCTTGAACAGACTGTGAGGTCCTAGATCTGTCTGGATCACGTCATCACACACACACACACACACACACACACCCTCACACATCCCAGGCTTCAAAACAACCAACCTTTTAAATAATGACTAGCACTATAGATCTAGAAACAGAACTTATTCTAATAGTATTAGGGTAAGAAAACAAATGTAAACAATTTACCTTTTTCTGCTCCAAGGACCTGCATTAAATTAAAAAATAATAATAATGTTTAATGACTCATGGTAATAGAGAATTAAATGTAATACCATGTGTTTTTTTAGATCATTTGGTTAATAGAGTTTGGGCAAAATTTTTGTTAATATAGATTTTCTTAAAAATCGACAAATAATTCTCTAAAAGACTAAACAAAAACTAAAATTTTAGACTCTGTGTGATGTAACAGACAAGTACAAAGTCTGCTGATGAGACTATAAATTGCATCGGCTCTTTTGGAAAGCAATTTGACCATAGTTATAAAAAGCCTTAGAAATGCTCTATTCTTATCCCAGTAATTCCACTGATGAGACCAGTTAAGAAACAACCTGAATTTTGGACCAAGTTCCGTGTACAAATATGTTCAGTACATCCCTACTTTTATAGTGTCAAATTATTGGAAACAGTCTACATGCCCAGAGAAGTGAAAATCATTAAGTTAATTTTGGTACTATCCTCCCTTATTGGAATATTATGAAGGCATTGTAAGTATTTATGTAGAGAATGAAGTAGGATGATCACTATAAGTATGCATCAATATTACATAAAAAGTTCAGGATAAAAACTGGGCCCATGATATATTTTCATGCTGCTACATTTTATATGTATGCATATGTGTATGTGTATTAAAAATGATTTAAAGTAATATGATAAAATATTAGAGGTTGTGTTTAAACAATAAGGCTATGGTTAATTTTTTTCTTTATACTTGTTCTGAAATTTTTATTTGAAGAAATAAGCATAAAAATATTCACATTATTCTTTTTAAATGTAGCCATTTATTTTTCTGAACATTTCCTTTCTCTTTCCTTCTTTAATGGCGGCAGAATTCCTAATCAAGCTTTATTATGAATATCTACATGTTTATTGGGTTCACATCTTTGGGGGCCCACTCCTGAAAAATCAGAAATCCTTACAGTAGGTGCAGTATTTGCTGGAGTGTTTATGTGACTGCAAATAATTTTATGAAGTCCATATGGCATCAGCTGAAGATTCACCCTAGGTATCATTTATTATATATTTATTAGATAAAAAACTTCTTTAACCTGGGGTATGAAAGAGATCATTGAATGGCCTCGTGTGATCCGTGAACCTTATGAAATGAAAAGCCAAATTTTTTTTTTCTATAAATATGTGTATATGTGTTTTTTCCCCTGCAGTGAGGAAGGTTTATTGTACCCTTGACAAAATTTTCAAAGAGGTGCGAGGTCTGTAATATGTTAAAAACCATGGGCTTACAGATAAGGTCCAAAGAGGTGATGCCGTCTACCCAGGTTCCCATAGTTATTTTGAGGCTAAACTGACCCTGAACCCCGCTCTCCTGACTCACATTTGCTTCATTGCCAAGAAACCTTTAGTAACAAATTGCTTAGAGAGGCATTGTATGTCTTGTCTGAAGCTAGCCAACAGAGAAGAAGCCTTTTTGTTTCAAAGACCTTGGTATCCCCTAGGGTTCTGGAAAGAGGATGTACATTTCATTATGGACAACAGACAACAGCCAATCTATAGGCTAAGTAAAAAGGGTAATGAATCCATTCTAATGAGTGGTTTGAGAGTCTCCCCACTGAGTCTTCCCCAGGACTTTGAGCCTGGCAGTTCAAAGTGCTCAATCAGATGGAGCAGCAGTTCTCAGGCTTGTCAAAGGCCGGGGGAAGCAGAACTGTAAATACTGCTGAGAAGCCCTCTGCCTGGAGAGCAGATGTTTTATTTAATTGAGATCCAGCCAACTTTTTGCTTGGGGGCTCTGAATTTAAAATCAAATGCAATTAGAAAAGCAGAGTGAAATCTCTCTAGTTTTTCTATTTTAATTTTTTTATTGTTAGGAAATAAACACATTCAACTTAAATAGTGATATCTCCTTTATTACTTCCCTCTGTCTCCCGTTTTTCCTCTGCCTTCCTTCCCTCCAACCTCCCTTCCTTCCCTTCTTTTCTTCTCCCTCCCCCCTCCTGTCATCTTTGCCTTCCTTTTTCTTTTTTTATTACTTTATCTCAGAGGTGTTTCTGTATTTTTTAAGGCAGAGAGTCATGGCTGTGGGGAGGAGACCTGGACTTTGCGATTTCCTGGACTAGCTCTGTCTCTTGCCAGCTGTGGGGACTCTGGCCAACTTTGCCACCTCTCCTTATTCTTCCCTTAGGTCTTTGTGAGGATAAATTGAGACAGCGAGTCTCCACTTTCTTTGACGACTCTAAAGTGCCTTGTGAATTTGAGTTGGGGTAGGTAGCACATCATTTCTGCTGGAACAGATTCTAGCCAGCAAGACAGCATTCAAGCAAGCACTTAACACACACACAAGGGCAGCACTGCACTTGGAGATGAGATGGGCTTTTGAAATGGAAAAATGGTCTTGAATCTCAGCCCAGACAAACAATGGGGGAAATATCTCAGCAAAAGATAAGGAGGAAGAATGTATTTTTCCACTAGACCTTGTTCTTTAGATGATATCAAGTTCTAGCAGAATGCCAACCAAAGTGGCAGAGGAAACAAGCAGTCTTGCATGCTCCCTGAAGTCTAAGGCTGACTTCGCCACTTTGCTTTTGCTTGTTTAGGCTCGGAGGGCCTACTGTTCTGTCAAACTGACCAATGAGTCCATAAACTTAGGGTCATCTTGAGTGGCAGCCAATTACTACTTGAGATATATGAGCCTGACCCACAGGAAGAAAGGAGTGGAGTCCTGGGTTCGGGCACCTTAGATGTGTAGGTTCCCCCAGCAGCTGGGAATCACCCCCAGCTTGCTCCTTCCGGGTGGCACTTGGGAAGTCCAGCAGCTCCCAGAAGAGCGTGAGCCTGGTGAAGTCCTCTGTGGAACCAGAGCTCGTCCTCTCGTCCAGCAGTTATGTATGTCATCCTTCTGGACATGATTATTTTATGGACTAGAGGGATTAGAGGTATTTGATATGTTGTTTGAGTGACAGACTGGATATGTGACTTTTGATTTTAACATTCTGACAAAGCCAACAAATAAAAAAGAAAGAAAATAAGGAAAGAAATCACCCTCTATGGTCAAGATGCAAGAGCATAGGTCATATACAAAGACAAGAACCAAATCCCTTAGAAGTCAAGTGGGAGTGAGGTGAGGCCACTCTTGTCGGACTCAGCCTTTCCATCAGTCATGGGTGACTCACTTTCCACCCTTAGGGCTCTACATCTTACATGACTTGTAGTATTTATTTAGCCTCTACTAGTCACCTGGCCATTTGTGTACTTACTTCAATTTACTTTGCCTTTATCACAACAACTGTGTAAAGAAATGTACCCATCCCTATTTTATGGCTGAGGGAATAGAAATGGGAGGGTGTAGAAGCACTTGTCAAAGTTCACAAAACTAGTAGGTGGCAGAGCAGGATTCAAACCCAGGTCTGTGTGATTCTGAATCTCATATTCCTTCTACTTTGCAGTTCTATCTTTCTTATGAAGAACAAAGATCAAAGTACAATACAGTTTCCAGCATTTTATTTCTGCAATGCTGGAGATTGGAGGCCATCAGTGGAGACTTTGCCTTCTGTGTGGAATTGGGTGTGTTCTTTATTGTAAAAGTAAACACTGAATGAACATCGTAGCCCAATAGGATCCTGGTTTAAAACCTGGATTTCAACTTGCTTTACTTTGGATTTATCATTTTTAAAATAGGGATAAAAGTACATTTTGAGCATAGCTATTGTGAGAATTAAGTGTGACAAAGTAACCGAAGAATAGCATCTTGCCCATCACAGACACTTAATGCATAAAAATTCCCTTGTTTGCTTCCCAGGACAAAATTGCTACTTACTTCATTTAAGTCCTTTAAGCTTATCTGTCTGCAAGAGAAAGAAATATGGTGTTACATAAAATACAAGTTCATAATGACCGAGGTAAAAATCATTCTGAGCCCTTACAAACCTCTCATTACATTTTCATTGCCAAATTAACAGCCTGTAGTCCAGTGTGATATTTATCACTGTTCCATAAAACTAAAGCCAGGTTATTTTTCTCATAATTTTCTAAGGAAAAGAAGAAGTTAAGAGCCAATATGAAAGGTGGTGATAGAAAGGACATGAATAAACTTGCTTCTCATTTTAGGAGAATTTAAATAACATCATCATTCCTCCTGACATTTGATTTTTCATGTCAAAGTTTCATTGGCGCAGTTGGGCCTATTATTAACTTGATTTTAAAGCTCTTAATCTTTTGCTTTGAGGACATTTTAAGAGTTCTAAATATGAAGCTGTCAGGTAGTGGGATCCTGGGAAGGCATGTGTAAGAGAAAGAACGCCGATACCAAAAGGAGATCTGAGGCAAGAAAACAACATGAAGTGGAAAGGCAAGGAGATAACTGGACATGGAATTTGATAATATGGACATTGGAAAGATCTCAGAATACACTCCAAGCCTTTCATTATATTGGTAAGTCAGTTAACTTCTCTACACCTCATTTCTTTTTCATCTGCAAAGTGGCAATAGGAGTATTCATCTTGGAGGGTTACTGTGTGAATTGCTAGAGATAAAAATAAAAATGTTCGGTATTCGGTGGACACTATTTTTAGAATGTGGTCGAAATCAGGTAAGGCAACTCTGAAGGGAATGGGTGAGGGGGTACGTTCCATCCACACAGAGCTGCCAATGAAAGACTGGATCTGAAGAATGCAACGCTGATCTCAGTTGAAAGCTGCTGATCTGGAGTTGGAAGGGTCTGTATCAAGTAAGAGGATCCCAGAAGCATATCATGCACAGATATTATAGCCCAGACTCAGGTCTCCAAGAAATAGGCGACCATATTGAGGTTCCCATTTTTAACTTTTTATATCAGCCCATCTGAGACAGTACATCTTTACCCTTTCTCCCCCTTTTATTTGGATGTGGGAGAAGATAGATTTGACTCTCTTTATCTTCAGATTTAACTCCAGATTTGACTAGAGTTAATGAAGTAGAATAAACACCTATAGTATTAATTATTTTGGATTAAATTGCCGCAAATTCTAGTGTTTTAAATGTTTAAGAGATTCTGGTGTATCGGGAATACTGACAGATCAGCTGTGTGGCTTCCATTTAAAATGTATAACTGATTTTAGAATGGTGATTTTATATTATGAGAGTCAAGACATTTCACTCTATTTGTAAAGAATTTGAACTATTTAAGAGAACATGAATTTTTCTATATCTGTACATTTACTGCATTACATTTATAGAAGTTGTTAAAGTTCTGCTTGCTAGGATTGAAATCTGCCTTGTCAGCATTAGACATACTTAAAAATCAAGTAAGTTAAATTTATAATGGTGTTTCAAATGCTTACAGGAATTAACTGATTTTGTACATAAGTCTTACTGTCTAAGATTCCTTAACCTCTGTAACCTGAGTTAGTTTAACATTTGTTGAAGAACAAGCAGAGTGATTGTCTCTCTGTTTAGACAAAATCACAATTGACAAATGAGTAATGCAATCCACTGACAAATAGAGAAGTATACTTTCTAGATTGAAATTTGAGGCATCAGGAAAGCAAGGCTTTGGAATTTGTAACTTTAATAAATTGCATTTAAAGCAAGAACCAAAGTGATTATAATGAGGGCTTTCTGTGAAGAGCAGGATGAGAAATTCTGGTCTCCTGACGTTTGGGTCCTCTCCACACTACCACATAGACTCCCTGAGAGCTTTAAACATATACATTCGTCCAAGTTCTGTCTGCTGGAAATGGCCAATAAATCATGATCATTAATTACATAGGATTTTTCCCCCCACATTTTCTCCTATGCATAATAGGTACTCAGTATAAATATAAGGATATGACCTTTTATGATAAATACAGGCCTTCTTAAGCACCCCTTACTTTTTGGCTTAGTTTTAACTAAATTGAATTTGAATCTTTGCTTTGTCTTCTGTGGGCTCTGTAAGCTGGAAAAGTTAAGTTCCCTCTCCAAGGCTTAGTTTTTCCGGCTGTGAGATGCATAAATCCAGAGAGTAATGAAGAGGAGTGTTCAAAGTTGTAATGAAATATATATTTATATATATATTTCATATATATATATATTTGGGATAACACTTTGCATCTGCAGAACACTTTATTATTCACCCATTCTATAAAATTAAACTTTTTAGCCTGAGATTATTATAGATTTCCAAGAGGTTGTAAGAAATGATACAGAGAGATCCTGTGTACACTCTCCACAGTCTCCCCTGGTGGCAACATCTTGGAAAACCATAATAATAAAGTTTACACTTTAAGATCAGTAGTTTCCATTCATAAATGAGAATTTGTGTATCTTCATAATCTATGGTTTCTCTCTTTCAAGAGACTATGGTTTCTTGATATCTATAAAGATTTTTTTTCCACTTCTGAAATCATCAGAGCATATATTTATGCCACTGCGATTGCTTGAATTGATGTGATGCCAGCCAGCATCGCTGTTTGAGAAGGGAAAGCCAAAGTTAGGCAAGTGAGTGTTTTGTTTCTTAAATATCAGGTGCTGTATTTAACTGATATTTTGGATAAACCCTGCAGCGTGGGCCATTGAGTGTACTGAAGCTTAAGGACATATGGTGGCACAGTGAAGTCTCTGTATATCTGTGTCTTCATCAGTGAACTGGGGATGTTAATACTGCTTTTGTCACAGTGCTGTTGTGAAACTAAATACGCAAATCCACACAAAAGACTCCAAACTGGGTCTGCTGTGTAGTTAGAACTCAGAAAACGTTGATGATTACCCTTATTGTTACTTAGGATGATTATATTTGGTGCACAGGACATGGTATTAAAATTGCAGTGGGTACATACTAAAAAATTATTTCCTTTTTAATTCTCTTTTAGATTATGTCAAGAAGAGAGTCTCAATGTGGTGGTTAATATATATTAACCGTTCTAATATTTGCCTATTTTATTTTTTGTCAGAGAGAAAATTACCTAGGCTCAAAGTTTTGGTCTGAAAGTAACTGTATTGTAGTTATTTATGGTAATGATATTAATCTTTCTTTTAAGCAAATTTATTTTAGTAAAAAAATGGGCTGAGAAAAAAAATATTAAGTGCATAGCTATTGTAAAAATCAAAATGATGGTGCATAAATGGTTGAGGATGTCTAACCAACATTCCCTAAACTTCAAAGTTCTCTTCTAGTTTTGAGCTGTCAATGAATGATCTACATGATGTTTTCCTTCACTGAGGTGCTTTGATTCAGCAATTGTTTTGTGAAGCCAAGGCTTAGCTTTAAAAAAGAGAATGGCAGATGTGACAGAGACAAATGGGGGCTGAAACACAATAGCTGGACCCATGGTCACCATCCAGGGTGAGAACAGCCAGTTGCACAGGGCTGCGGCTGTCGGGCTGTCTGCTATTGATGCAGTTGATGGCCAGATGTAAACCACGGCCTTTGCTTTTGGGATAGACATTTATTTCACTGGCAGTGCCCTACGGAACAGCTGGCAGAAAGCGAGCAGGTGCTGTTCTGCGTAGGTCAGCTTCAGACGCTCAGATTTCCAATATTCCTTCTGTTTCCAGAGCAATAGCCTCATGTGGTTATTTACATGTGACCTGGGCGTCAGTAACAATGATCTGACTATCCACGCGCGCCCTGCCGACAGCGAATTTGAAAGCACAGTTTTCTTCCTAAAGCAAAACTCTTCTATTTTCTTATTTCTGGTGGTCTTCCCAGTGTCGCCTATAGGGCTGTGCATGTTTTTGTCCCCTCAACCGTCATATGAGGACCTTGTGACTTTGAGTGACCTGACTTCTCTGAACCTTCGCGGCCTTATATGCCTAACAGGTGGGGAAGTAATGTTTACTGAGCACCTGAGTGCTATCCACTGGCCTGGGCACTTTACTCTTCCAAGGCTCAGAAAACCATACTTTACAGTGCTGCTGAAAGGATTCAGTGAGATAAAATCTGATTTCTCTCTGGAAGTGTTTGCGGTGAAGAGATCCAACACAATTATTATCACATCTAAACGTGATAAATAAATGTTAACGATAACTACAGGAACCCCTGCGATAAAAAATGCCAACTTTTAAAGATGTCAATAGCACCAGGATGATGGCACAATAGACTGGTGTGATTCGGGCTTCAGAGGGATTCCTTGGGCAATTGAGGGAGCATAACATTGAAAACTTGGGCATAGATAAGGTGTAATGACTTTCAAGGCTTTTGTGGCAGAACCTGGTTCCCTCTGGGTACATAGTTATGTCTGCACGTTAGATCTACCTGAAAGGGGTCTGGAAAATACTAATCCTTGAGTCCCACTTCAGAGCAATTAAAGTAGATATGGTGGATAGTACTTGTTAAAAAGCTTTCTAATTATTTTAGTATAAAGTCAGGATGAGAAATATCAGGAAAATATAGCCCATTTCAGAAACAAAACAGGTTTATGGCTCATTCTGCTGAGTACATATAGGAGAAGCTAGCTAATGTCTTTCTTTCTTCTTTCTTTCTTTTCTGTGCTATGACAGGTATTATCTTAGGCACTTTATAGAAACTGCATACCTTCACATTACAATTCTATCCCATGGGGATGGTTATTTTCTTTTTATAATAAAGAAATCAGGACTCAGAGCTGTTAAAGAGTTTTCTGAAATCAAACAGCCAGAAGTGGCTCAACTGAAATCCCAGCTCTGTTCTGCTGGGTCCCAAGATACTGTTCTTTCCAGCATGAAGAAACAGAAGGAAGATAAAATCCTCTTTTCTCCACACTTAACAACCTCATCACCTTTGATATTTTATTGGTCCTATTTTGTCTCCTTACTTCTCTGTGGTTTGACTGGTCCTTAACATATCAGACCAATTGATCAGGAGTTTTAGGGATGGTAAGTTTTATTTTTCCAGTTCTGATGACACCACTTCATAGGTTTGATGGTTTATTATTGTTGTTGCCTCCCAGTTTCTCACTGTTTGAAAATGGAAATCAAAAGAGAGCAAATTTGATGACTCTAGCTTGGTGAGGTTCCTTTGAAAGCCATGGAAGGAAATACATATTTTTCAAACATCTACTGAACATCAGGCACTGTACTAGGAAATGCAGATACTGAAATGTGTTAGTCCCTCTTCTTGGGGTAGAAGAATCAGACTTGTATCTCGATATATTATGCGGCGTGATAAAGACTCCAATAGGAAAGGGCTCATGGTATTAATCCTTTGAACTCGTTTGCTTTTTTCTCGATTCCTTTATTCTACTCGGGATTTAATTTTTTAAATACCCCAGATTTTACAAAGCACGGCATTGGAATTTACAACACTGACCTCAAGCCCCCAGAAAAACAATGTACACCACCATTTTAGAGTCTTCCTCATAAAACAGTATGTGCTTGTGTAGCAATCAGCTATATGAACACCCCCCATAAACTTTCTATAGTTGGTCATGACCTTGGGTTTGAGAACTGTTTCCTTCCCACCACCACACACTCTCCTTTCCACAGACTCGGTCTCTGAAGCATCCCATGTACTGAGCACTGTGACTATCCTCTTATCTTTCCACACAAGAAGCATTACATTTTTATCCCTGAAAGCCACTATCTCTCCTTTCTTTAGCTTTGGATGTTTGATAACAGGTGGATTATCTTTCCTATTGGGCATTATTGTCCCTGTCAAGTGTGTTTTTTCCTTGAACAATTTCTTTGCAAGAGTGACACTAGTGTAATACCTGTCAGTAAAGAAATGATAACCTTGAGAACCAGGTACTGAGTTCTTCAATCTTTTATGAATCTCTAAAACTATTCTGCTAGTAAAAG